AGAAGCACGTCCGGAGAAGCATGTATAGAAAATAGTAAGAACCGTCGAAGGGAACCGAGGCAGTGAATCATCGGCACGTTTTGATGACTCGATGACGAGTCGTCGACAGCCAGTGAAGAGGCTCGCGTTCCATTGGGAATGGTGCATCACAGCAGCGTTAGAATAATTCAAGGGTTCCTGGAACCGCGCGCGAGGAACAATAATCCGTCGCGATACACATTGGCGTAATCTTCGTCGTCGAAAGAGCCGATTCTCGACCTTAATTCGTTCAGACGCGCGCTTCCCATAAAATAATCGAGAACAATGATTCTTTTCCCCTCGATTCGCGTCGCGATAAAACGCTCGCGAGAGAAATGATCGGCGGCTGGCAATAAAGTTCACCCTCACTGTAAAATTTGGACACCTTTCGGGTTTCGCGTTTATCTTATCGCTGCCCCCGACGATCGACTACCGATTATTCGAGGTATCGTTGGATCTGGATGTGAAATCGACGTTTCTGGGTAGTTTCGATGAAATTGATACATTTCGCTGTAAACACGGTCGAAAATGGGCGATCGATACTCAATAAAATTGTTTGTTCTCGTGTTTGAATCGTGAGTAATAGCTATCTCTTGTAATTTAATTATTCGATCGACGTTTTGATCGATCCTTCTTCAGAAATTTGTTTAAACGAGATAATAAATTTATATAAGTATTTATTTAAAAAACATAGAAATAGTTGGTAGTATAAAGTAACATTCGTGTAATAAATTACAAAAGATAGTTTGATCAAATTGCAATTAAAGTCGAAACAATATGAGAAATAAAGCTTTTTTAAATAAAGTTTTTTCATTTCATGTTGCTTCTTGTATTTTTTATTTCGAAGTAAAAATAAATGAAAATTAAAATTTTTCAACGAAATCAGGAAGTTTAATGTCTCAACCGCGAGATAATAGGAATAAATATGAAGTTCATCGAGAGTGATAATGACGAAATGAAAATTGAACGTCGTTCGATGATCGACGGGTTTCGCCTTCTGTCACGGATTTCGCGTTCACGTAAATTTCAATTAGTCTTTCCTGTTAACCCTTCGCCGACACCGTGGGCGCCTATTAACCCCGACATAGTCTTACATAGCAACGCGAGTACCGAACAAATTTATCACTTGTTACCGCATTTAATAATGATAATCGACTCTCGGAGCTAGCCTACCTCGGAGAACAATTCTCCGACGAAGACTGAGAAACGATTCGTAATCGACGAGAACGTCCATCAGGAATTGAAGCCTAATAACGTTTAAAGGTTAAGGTATACAAATCAATTTCTAAGAAATTAGCGACTCCAAATGAACTCTTCGCTCGTCGGGACTATTTCTGTGAGGCTCCGATCCTCTTTGCACCGTTTGTCTCGTCTGCACGTTTTCGAGAAGATTACGTCAGATAGAGGAATTAACTTTCTAAAACAAGAAGTAACATTCCTCGCCACTCTTCGACACACCCTTCGACGATATCGTTCGATTCGACACAACGGATTATCGCCAATTATATTCGAGTCCGATCTTTTAACGATTTGAACGCTTTGAAAAATATCACTATTTATGATCGTCATTTATCACGTTCCCATCTGACTATTGCACTCTTCATTTTCTATTTATGTCATGTAAAATAATGATTCTCGATATTGAATAATCATAGTGAAATCGTCACGATACATTTAATTGATAATTAAATAGAAGGTTCATTTTCTGTTCTGCGTACAAAACAATTGTTGACAGGAAAGTTTAATTAAGCGATGGCACATGTGTTCAATCAATCCTGAATAATAAGATACAGAATAAGAGGATTATGAAAACAATAATGAAGAAAAATATATATGTCGATCTAAAAGAAAACAAAATGGAAATAAAATTTTATTTATTTGATTGCACAAACCTACGCAATTATACGTATGAAATAATTATCCATTTAGTATAAGAAATAAAATGTGCAAAGTGCAGCGGAAATTCTGTTTCTAAATTTAGTCAAATTTTTAATTAACGTCGATAATAAATTGATTAATATCTTATAAAATGGCTCAAAAACGATGACAGACATTTAGCGCGGGAATTTTGCAGTAAAGCAAAAGAGTGTTGCTAAATAGATCGACTAAATACTAATATAGACGCGGTTTCTTCCTCGAAAAATTCAAATAAGACGAGAAAGAATTGACAATTTATTTTACAGAGAAGATTTAACGTCGCGTCAACGTTATACATCATCGAGTCATCAATGCTGTGGCACTACATGTTGTTCTTGGACGCGTTTCAATTTCCCTCAACAACGAACATCGATGGTCGCGATTTGTAACGCCGGAGGAACGCGTCGGGGAATTCTAGAAGTAGATCAGACTATTTTAACGAAATTAAACAAATGTAGAATCTTGATTTGGAAATTTATAACATGTAAAATCGAACAAAAATTTATTTTCATTATTCAGGGACTGACAAACGATTTCTTTGAACGCTCGTATAAAATAAAAGGGTAAAACTGAATAAAATAATGTAGTATTACATATTACAAATAACAAACGAAGTGACAAAACAGTGAATAAAATTGAATCATGTAAAAGTAATCAAATTATGATAGACCCAGAAAAGAAATATAATAAAACTGTTTGTTGTATACCATCCTTTATTTAATTATATTTTTGTATAGAATTTGCATACAGAAATATTAAATACCATTATACGAATAAAACGTTCGTCAATCATTGAATAATGAAAGAAAGGCTTGTTACGATTTATCAAAAATCTGATTATAGAATAATTAAAAGAGCATTCTAATGATCTACTATTCTATTGATCAAATACGATTCTATGATCAAATTATTTTCTTGAATTTTCCAATTTTTCCTCCATAATTTTCTTTTCCTTTCGTCTGAATATAGTTTTGTATTTAGAAATATTTTTCTGTTAAAAAGAAATGATCGAAATGAAATTTAAACTGCTAATAGACGTACGGTTTTCTTAATTTTATCACGACGGTCGTCGATTAATCGGAATAATTGCTTTCATAAAATTGACTCGCGCCGACTGTGTATCTTGGCGTTGATCGTTAAAGTGGAAACAAGTTGAACGAAATCCAACCGCTGTAGCAGATGCTCGCGGCATGTTGACAATCTGGTGTCACGTCATCATCAACGATCTCGGTGTCCACGAGCTACGAGTATAATCGATCTACGTCTTCGAGTCGCGATTAAAGCTCGCCTCACATCGGGAAACACGAGCCGGACAACAACGAACAACCGCTACGATTCAATTAGGGCTATAAAATTTTTTTAGATCGGATGTTCTTAATGAATAATACAGAATCGAAATGAAAAACTTGACTCGTTTTACGAGTTGCTCGCTAGGAGCAACGCAATGCTTTGTAGAAGTGATAAATTGATCGATACATCGGGAACACGACGCGAGGAGTGTCGCCGTTTAATTAAAATATCTAATTTTAGTCATTGAGTTGTTTAGATTCGTCTATGAATAGTTTTGGTATTGTTTGCTTTTTTACTGCGACGATATTTCGTTATAACTTGGAACAAAAATTAGATTTAGTAAATTTAAATTTGATCTTTTAAAATGGGTAGAGTTTCTGGCTAAATTTACTCTAAATCAGGTCGATATTTCTCAGAATATAGCAATTTTTAATATTTAGGTGATGTGAAGACTATTGCGTGCCGCCGGACACTTCGTGAGAGTTTCGATCCAATAAAAGTTTTCGAACTGTTTCTTGAGGTGAAACTTTTAAAATTCAATATTCTATAAATGGTCGAATATTAACCATTCGCGAGTTGCAAAGATAAGCTTCTAATCTGGCAAAAAATATGTTTAAATAATTTAAACTCCCTTTTCTTGTATCGTTTCAAGTATTCCATTTATATCGTTTAATAGGTTGATTAGCTCTAAAGCTGAAACGTTAAGAAAAATAAATCTAAATGGAAAATATGAATTTCGACGAGATTGTAAAAATGGGTATTACGACAAATGTTGGACCAGATGGTTTTAAATCGTCTAAAAACAAAACGTTAATAAACACTCAAATTTCTAACTTTAAATTTGTGAAAATTATATATATTATAAATATTTTGCTTGAGTTTCTGCAATTATTTGTTTTATATCATGTTGTACATAATATAAATTGTAGTAAATATCATTTGCTTATTAATGCGAGCGAATTTCTTTTAATTTAATAGCGTGAATTTACATATATATCTTGATTATCTTAATTATTTCTGGTACTGCTGAATGAATCATAATGCGTTGCATTATTTCAGATCGCGTGACCAGCCGACGAGGAATCACTAAACGTCAGATATGAATAAAATTTATATATTTACCACGACCGTAAAAACAAAAACATAATTATAATCTATATCAGATCGTAAATACACCGAACTAAGAAAAGCTTTTCTACTAGAATACAACTATTAGATTAGTGGAGAAATTTCTGCTAAAAAATGCTGCCAAGTTATTGAAAGATTCATGAAAAATTAATAATATATAAAAATATGAAACTTTGCAATATTCGAACTCATCCTCAACAAATTATCATTGTTCAAAAACACTTTAGAAACGAAGATGGTCTTAAAACCTCCATAACAAAGATTACTAGTTCAAAACACGTGAACTTCTTTAAAACTGGTATTCGTAAAAGTATATCCAAGCAAACGACTCTCATTTTGATCGACTAAAAAACATTCTTCAACGTAAGATATATCTATTATTTATTTCAAAATCTGATGTTTCGCTCCAACTTAATTACGTCGACTGTCTAATCCTGACGCACCGCGATCGAACATCCGGAAAGTTCCACCGTTGACGTTTCGAAACAACCCCAAAGTGGCCTAACATGGTCGCGGAGGGCCGACGAAAAAGAAAAAAAAGAAGGAAAAGAGAAACAGTCGATTTCCATCGCGAGGGAGCAGGGTAGAAACGCTCGGGGGATGAAAGGGACCCTCCTCTCTCTAATTAATTTGTTCGAGTGACTCACCCTCGGCTCCTCGGGTTCCTCCCTCCTGACGTTCTGGAAGAGGACGCTGCCCATCTGAACCTGAAGATTCTGCTGCAGCAACTGCGCCAATTGCGGGTTCTGCGTCAGAATCGCCGGGTTTTGCTGCAACAGCTGAGCCAACGCCGGGTTCTGCACCAGGATCTGACTCAACGGCGAGCTCGCCATCGTGTGAAGGGGTTGCTGCTGCTGCTGATGTTGCTCCTGGTGTTGCTGCTGGTGTTGCTGCTGTTGCAGGTTGGGTGAGTTCGCGTTCGACGTTTGACATGACTGTGACAGGTTGCTGGGAGGTGGATTGTGCCGTGGCGGGCTTTGCGGGGTGTGCGGGGGTGTCGGAGGACTCCCTGGCGCCATCGATGAAGCATCCTTCTCTTCCTTCACCTTGACCTTCCCTGTAACAGACAGTTTTTCGTTCTTGTCAGTCCACAGAAATTTAGATATTCTCGAATCGACGCGACTGTTGGAAAAATTGTAACTTGCCAAAGAAATTGCTTCAAACTTAAAAGTTAAAGTTCTTGCGTTGGTTCTCACGTACATATGTGTAGACAATACATAGAAAATTGTAACAAAGTTTAGAAATTCCTATTAAATACGAGTGAAAACGAGCAGAAAAAATATGTCTAAACGAAGGCTCGAGTACTACATTAAAAAAATGTAATTATAACATCTAAAATAATTATCCTAAGACACTGGTGATTCGATCCTTTTTATGAAGAAGTAAACGGTGTATCAAAAAATATATAGTTGCATTTAAAATAGCAGAGATGGCCTTGGAGTCTTTGAAACGCCTCCATTTATAAAAAAGTCACACATTCCACATGATACATCACACAAAATTATTTAATTCTCTCCAATCAATTTTTTTGTATATCTCTTGCTGTTTTAAAGGAGTAGTTAGACACACTTTAACACTCTATGCTTGTTTTCGAATTAAATTATACAACTATAGTTTTCCTCGGGTAACTACCCCCTCTACCTACCCTGATCACCCTCGACACGCTATTAGACTTGCTTGCCGCACGGGCACCGCGACGAGACTGACTCCGCGACACGGATTTTCCAAGATTTCGGAAACTGTCGAGACAGTGGGGATCGAGCCACGGGATTGGTCGAAAGCCTGAAGACGTAGCGACGAATAGAAACACGACTACCCGGCGAGGGGGAAAAAACTGACCGTGGGGAAGTTTTTGCCTGCTGAGGGTCGTGAAGTCGTGAAATTGAGACATCTCGATCCTGAAAAAGCCGCAATCGACTGCGAACAGGTACATCTGCTTCGACTCAGATCGATGGAACCTCGATTACTATGACTGTTTCATCCGAAATACGAATTCGAAAATTCACACTGACATCAACGCCCATCTATCGTTCAACATTTTTGGAAAGTTTAATATTGTTATCTTCGTGTCGAATAAATATGTAAGATACAGAAATTTTAGACATTATGAAAGGATTTTTACATAAATTATCAAACCGCCTAAACTGAACCCAATTTTAACTTTTAATAATAATATATATAATTAAATAAACTGTTCCTGAAGAAGGATCAATGTTTATGGGCAAAATGCTAAATAGCTTCCAAATAAACGAGCATGAAATTATTTGAAACTTTTAAAAAGATTAATTTGCCTATGATAAACTGTCCAATCTTTTAAATGCAATTAAGAGATAGTAAATGTAACTTTCGATGGGCTCAATATCAAATAACATTTTTGGCTTTAGTTTAACTTGGTTCGTGCTATCCTTTCTTATTTTTTTTCAGTATATTCGTCCGATCTCATCCCTTTTAATCACTCCTTCACGCTCAAGCCACCAAAGTAGAAATTTAATTAAATTTATTGATTTATACCATGGTTTCGTATTGAAGATGACTCGTATAAACGTTTCAATTAAATAGAATAACCTATATAAAAAAATACCAATGTTAATTGTTGGGAAGAACACTCTAACAAAAGTTTCTAATCCAACGAAAAACGAGAATTAAAATTACCACGAGGGAAGGATAACCGTCTCATATAATACCACATAATTCCTCATACTTTTTGGAGATGGTATTCTCCAGTCCAGATTATCATTTAGGTGTCATCAAAAAACGGTGGACCGTAGCCTATCGGTGTTCTGCCATAATTAATTGTTTCCTGGAAATATCCCGAAGAATCTAATTTTGATCGAAATTATTAAATCCTACAGGCGTTTCCTTCATCTTGGATTTCAACGGGACAGTGTTTGATTCAACTATTTCCCCCGAAACGCAACAGAGAATCATCCCCTAGGTTCTTCGAAAGAGACAAGCGTACACGGTGCATCCTGACAAGGGTTTAAACCGGCGGAAGGAGTCGTGGCAGCTTTTAATACCCCCCCGGTGCCAGCGTTTCAGGTAGATCTATCTGGATTTATTCGCGCGAGGATCCATGAGAACATCAGAGCCCGATCTTGGTCTTGTACCTGCAGCTTTCGACCTGGCCAGTCGATTCCGTGGCCGCGAAACGGGGAAACCCGACGGGACAAGAGAGAAGGAGATTGGGAAGAGAAAAGAAAAGAGATTTGGAAAAACGTGGAAAGGGCTCGAAGGGACCTGGTTCGCTCCACGAGACTCCCCGGGACCTCCCTCCGCCTGGATCGATTACGTCCATCGAAATTACGCAACCCCTTAGGCATCATTTTTACTCCTCGTTCTTTATCCCAATCCCTCAGTCGAGTTACCATCTCACCCCTCTCCCCCTTTTTTCGTCCATTGTACGGGCTCTCGGGATTTTCCTTTTTTTTTCCTCTCCGAGAGGCCGACTCCAGGCGTCGTTTAACGAGACGTATACGCGCGGCTGCTCGTCGTCGATGAAAAATGACTATCCTCCGTGGTAATTTACGAGACTGGCGAACGTTGTGGGAAAATGTTCCTTTTTTTAGTATCATTTCCAAGCAGAGGATTGAGTGGTCGCTGGGTTTAATTGAACGAGGAGTTAGATTTCTTTCGTGAGTTCAAACGTTCGAGTTTTTCTATCTCGCCATTTAGAAGTTAGAATTTAATGATATCAGGTTTTAATACAGTATTTTTACCACGTTTGACTTTCAGCTAATTTGTGTAGTTCTTGAACCCTTTGACGTGCTATTTAATTTCAAATAATTTGTCATTTTATGATTTGTTCATATAATTAAATACCTCGTAAACGTAGAAACGTTGATTTTAATACACGAGACTCGATGACGAATGAGTAGCCTCATGATTGTGAAACTTGACATCAAGAACTTATAACGAGTCAGACACGTCATTCAACACCAAGGGGTTAATTATGTTGTTTGAATTTTTTACTTGAGATTAAGAAAGATTTAATTGTTAGATACTCCTTATTATATAGGCTGTAAGAATAATTTTGTATTGAATTTATACTGCAAATTCTAATTCTAAAGTTGAAGGAAGCAATAATAAATTTATTTGTATTGCTACATTGCAATTGTCTAATATTTATGTATAATGTGACGTTTAAGAGCCTCCATCAATTGCAGACGATACAAATAATACTATAATATTTTATTCCAATCATTTTGCCACATTATAATAGAATGGTAGTCTAGAAAATAATTTGAAATGTCATGTTAAATTTAAAATTTAATTTGCTTTTAAAATTGCTCTTGTATCTGAACATTAGAACCCTTATACAGACTGGACAGCTCATATTGATCATAAAGATTTTTGTAAAATCTCAATATAATACAAATTATTGTGTCTGCAATATTATTATAATACTCATTCATTGAGATCCACGAAAAATATAGTAACAATATAACAATATAAATAATTTAAGAAATAGTAGATATAGATCGTTGAGTCTTCAGCTTTTCTCTCGACTTTGGGAGCGGTTCGCGCGGTTAATCGATTAAAACTGGTCGTAAAATTTTCGAAATCGCGGTTCGAAAATATTTTTAAACGAGACGAATCGTTCCGGCCACGGATATTTGAGCTTACCCGGGGCCCGGGGGCGATAAAAAAGGAACGAAAAAAGCCCGAGAGGAGTGACTTGAAATGATTTCGTACACGTTTCAGCGTTAAATGGATTCCACGGGAGATATTCCTGAGGGATCGCATGCACGTTCGCGTTATGCTTGTATCCCGGGCCGGATCCTTAAATCGACTCGATTTTTAAGGCCCGACCCGAGGAGGATCCCGCGCCGCAGGGATCCTGTGTTTCTCTTCCTCTCGCGACGTTCTCCCTTTCGTCTTTGCTCCACATCGGCCTGCATCAGCCGCGAGTCGTGGCCGATTGATAAAAATCAAGAACAGAGAAAACGCGGCAAGAAACGCCGCGAGTCGGGGGAGGGGGGGATCGAGAGGGGGGCGGTTTGTGAAATCGAAACGCCTGGGAAAATAATTAGCGCCGTTAGCGGGGAAGCGATTCGCGTCTCGTACGATATTTACCAAATGGAGTGTCCGTTGTTTCTTAAAGCAACGTTTGCACGGATAATGCGTGGAACAGATTCGTGAACAGTGACGGTAATTCTGAACATTTTAACACGGAATAAAATAATGCAGGCAACATGGAATGCTCCAGAAATTTTTTTAAGGATCGATAATAACAAAACCTGTAATATTAAATTTTATTATACATACAGGAGGAGAGTAGCATAAATTTTTAATTTCTTCAGTGATTAAATTTGCATTTGGTGAGAAATAAATAAAACATTGTAATATTAGAAAATACCTGAAAATCGAAATTAAATTTTATCAACTGATTTTAGAAATGTCTTTTTAATTATTTGCAAGTTTTTAATGATTTATCCTAATCGTTACGGAGTATAAATGTATCTGTTGGTTATGTTATATAGTTTGTAGATGAAGGGAAGTTACATTGCAACACGTTCGACTTCACTTTCTGTTCCTTTTAATTTATTATATTTAAATATCAAACGGGGACTTGTGATCTGCATAGAGATTTAAGAAATCGATCAATCCACTAACATTTAGATAGCATCGGGAATCGACAGGCAATAAACTTACTTACTCCACGTCTCGCCTACTCATCACGGGCAATCATTAAAATGTTTTGCTCTTTATCAGGTGATAAATCCACGTAAGTAAATGTCAGTAACCTATTTTTAGTAACATTCCGTAGAACCGTTCTGCGACCAGAAAGACATTCGAGGAATCAGTTTTATTAGAGTATTTACTTATTTTATTAGAGTAATCAAAATTTATTCCAACGTCAATTTTTCTTTTATTCCTTAACCGATGGAATCTTTTAACGAAGAAGCGAGGAAAGAAATAATATATTTCCAGAACAGAAATTAAAAGGAATGGTTTATACAGAGCTCTACTACTACTATTATAAATAAATAGTCTATTATAAAAAATAGACTATCAAAACCAAAATTCAAAAATTCTTAATTTGAAATTGAATCATAT